TAAAGCACTGAGCTCTACTGATTTGTCTTTTTAGTTGCCTACTCCAGTTCTTTGAGCCTCTACCAGGTTACAGATAGATTCTTGGGAGCCACTAGTTAGTATGTTTGTATATTCATTTTAATTGTAATTAATATGTACAGGCATACCTCATTTTATTGAGTTTTGCTTTACTGTGCTTCACATATATTGCATTTTTTACAAATTGAAGGTTTGAGGCAACCCTGCATCTAGCAAGTCTATTGGTTCCATTTTTTTCTAATAATATTTGCTCACTTCATGTCTCTGTATCACATTTTGGTAATTCTCCAAATATTTCAAACTTTTTCATTATTATCATATTTCTTATGGCAATCTGTAATTAGTAATCTTTGATGTTATTATTGTAATTTGTTGGAACACCACAAACCACACTCATATAAAATGTGGTACTTAATGGATAAGTGTTGCTTGTCCACCGACCAGCTGTTTCCCTGTCTCTCTCCTTCTCCTCAGGCCTCCCTATTCCCTGAGACATGACAATATTAAAATTAGGCCAAGTAATAACCCTACAATGGCCTCTAAGTGAAAGGAAGAGTCATACATTTCTCACTTTAAATCAAAAGCTAGAAATGACTAGGCTTCGTGAGGAAGCCCTGTTGAAAGCCAAGATAGGCTGAAAGCTAAGTCTCGTGCACAAGTTGTGAATGTAAACATTCTTTTTTTTTTTTTTTTTTTTTTGGCGGTCGGCGGGCCTCTCACTGTCGTGGCCTCTCCCGTCGCGGAGCACAGGCTCCAGACGCGCAGGCTCGGCGGCCATGGCTCACGGCCCCAGCCGCTCCGCGGCATGTGGGATCCTCCCGGACCGGGGAACGAACCCGCGCCCCCTGCATCGGCAGGCGGACTCCCAATCACTGCACCACAGGGGAAGCCCTGTAAACATTCTTGAAGGAAAGTAAAAGTGCTATTCCAGTGAACACATGAATGATAAGAAAGCAAAACAGCCTTCTCACTGTTAGGGAAAATGTTTTAGTGGTCTGGATAGAAGATCATACCAGCCACGGTATTCCCTTAAGCCAAAGCCTAATCCAGAGCAAGGCCTTAACCCTCTTCAATTCTATGAAGGCTGAGAGAGGTCAGGAAGCTGCAGAAGAGAAGTCTGAATCTAGCAGAGGTTGGTTCGTGAGGTTTAAGGAAAGAAGCTGTCTCCATCATATAAAAAGTATAAGGTGAAGCAGCAAGTCCCTGATATAGAAGCTGCAGCAAGTTATCCAGAAGATCTAGCTAAGATAATTAATGAAGGTGGCAACACTAAGCAGATTTTTAGTGTAGACAAAACAGTCTTATATTGGAAGAAGATGCCATCTAGGACTTTCACAGCTAGAGAGGAGGAGTCAATGCTTGCCTTCAAAGCTTCCATGGACAGGCTGACTCTCTTGTTAGGAAGAGAAGTTGAAACCAATGCTCATTTACTATTCCAAAAATCCTACGGCCCTCAAGACTTATGCTAAATCTACTCGGCCTGTGCTCTATCAGTGGAACAACAAAGCCTGGATGAGAGCACATCTATTTACAACATAGTTTACTGAATATTTTAAGCCAACTGTTGAGACCTACTGCCCAGAAAAAAAAGATTCCTTTCAAAAGATTACTGTTCATTGACAAAGCACCTGGTCATCCAAGAGCTCTGATGGAGGTGTACTATGAGATTAGTGTTGTTTTCATGACTGCTAACAAAACACCCATTCTGCAGTCCTTAGATCAAGGAATTATTTCAACTTTTAAGTCTTATTATTTAAGAAATACATTTTGTAAGGCTATAGCTGCCATAGATAATGATTTCTCTGATAGATCTGGGTAAAGTAAATTGAAAACTTTCTGGAAAGGATTCACCATTCTAGATACCTTTAAGAACATTCATGATTCATGGGAAGAGGTCAAAATATCAACATTCACTAGAGTTTGGCAGAAGTTGATTCCAACCCTCATGGATGACTTTGAGGGGTTCAAGACTTCAGTAGAGGAAGTAACTGCAGATGTGAAATAGAATTAGAAGTGGAGCCTGAAGATGTGACTGAATTGCTGCAATCTCACGGTAAAACCCTTAACATGAGGAGTTGCTTCTTATGTATGAACAAAGAAAGTGGTTTTTTGAGATGGAATCTACTCCTGGTGAAGATGCTGTGAAGATTGTTGAAATGACAGTAAACGACTTAGAATTTTACATAAACTTCGTTCATAAAGCAGCAGCAGGGTTGGAGAGGACAGACTCTAATTTTGAAAGCTCTACTGTGGGTAAGATGTTATCAAACAGGATTGCATGCTACAGAGAAATCATTTGTGAAAGGAAGAGTTAATCAGTGTGGCAAACTTCACTGTTGTCTTATTTAAGAAATTACCCCAGCCACCCCAGCCTTGAGCAGCCACCATCCTGATAAATCAGCAGCCAATACTGAGGCAAGACCCTCCATCAGCAAAAATATTCCAACTCACTGAAGGCTCAGATGATGGCTAGCATTTTTTATCAAAACAGTATTTTTTCATTAAGCTATGTACACTGCTTTTTTTTAGACATAATGCTATGGCATCCTTACTAGACTACAGTACAGTGTAAACATAACTTTTACATACACTAGGAAACAAAAAAGTTCATGTGACTTGATTTATTGCAGTATTAGCTTTATTTTGGTGGTCTGAAACTTAACTCGCAATATCTCCAAGGTATGCCTGTGTAAGTCAATTCTGGATTATCTGGGTAGCTGTCATTTCGGTGTTACCATGTATATCGTTCATTTTGTGCCTTCATTATCATGTGTACATCTAGTTAAGTTAGCACCAATGATTTTAATAATTGCAGGAAGATGAGAAAGAGCAATAAATGATGCATTAGTATCAAAGGAAGTCCAGCTGAAATTATGGCAGGTCATATGAATGAAACTTATGTAGTAATCTGAATGGACCAAGTGTTGATGAAATTGAGTCATTTCATAAAGCCTATTGTAGAACAGTGCCAGGAACTCAAAAGGACCAGTAGCCAGTACCATATTCATGCTGCAAGTAGCAATCTGGGTTCAGCAAAATATTATCTGTCACATAAAAGTAATGTTGTTATTTTGAACTGTATTTATTGATTCTGTAGGGTTTTCTAAATAATATTTTTTTAATTGTATCATATAATAACTAAGTATCAAAAGTTTATACCTATTTTTACATCAGTATATATTGGTACAAATAATAATATAATTTGTTTCAGTCATGGTGAGTTCTCTTTCTTCCTTTAAATTAATTTCAACATTAAGTTATTCTGTTAAGAGAATATGTACATTACTTAAATTTGAGAAGCACTGACTTATTGTTTGTATGTACTGAGAGATCTCTCCGGGCTGGTTTGCTACAATCCAATATGAAATATCACTCACTGTGGCCCTCACCAAGTACTCATTAACTTCGAAGGAAGTACTTTTTTTTCTCACCCATTTTAATTCACCAACTTTATTATCAAATGATGCAGTAAACAGCTTCACTGTCTTCCTCTCTGGAATTTCTTTATCCTGACCTCCACTTACTGGGTACTCATCTATCTATAACCTATGCCTTCCCTGAACTCAGAGAAAGGGGTGAAAAAAAGTTGGGGAGTAGGATTATTTCAGTTTCCTTTTGCTACTATAACAGGTTAGCACAGATCTAGTGGCTTATAAACAACACAAATTTCTTCTTTTACAGTTCTGGAGGTCAAAAATCCAAAATGAGTTTCACTGGGCTGAAATCAGGTGTTAGCAGAATTGCACTCCTTCTGGAGGATCTCAAGAAGAATGTGCTTCCTTGTCTTTCCCAGCTTCTAGGGGCTCCTCACATTTCTTGGCTTGTGTCCCTCCATCACTCTGACCTCTGCTGGGATCATCAAATCTTCTTTTCTGACTCTGACCCTCCTGCTTCCCTCTTTCATTTACAAGGACCCTTGTGATTACAAGGGACCCACCCAGTAATTCTGGATAATGTGTCTACCTCAAGATCCTCAACTTGATCACATCTGCAAAGTCTGTTTCACCATGTAACACAGCATATTCACAGGTTCCTGGGATTAGGATGTGGAAGTCTTTCTGGTGGCATGATTCTGCCTAACACAGTGGGTATCAATATGCCCAGCCAGTCCCAAGAGCAGAAACTCTGATGGGGGAACCCAACTTGGAAAAGTGTGGGAACACATTCTCCAGAAAGAGAGGAAAAGGGGAATGGATGTAGGTTAAGAGAAAGAGGCATTATATGGTGAATGAAGACGCGGTTCTTTTTCTGAGGAGGATTAAGGAACAGGTTGAAGGCTTGAGATGGTGGGAAAGACTTGGAAAAGTCACTGTGGAAGGTGGGAAAGCCTGCAACTAAAGAAAAAGCAACTGCTTCCCCAGGGCTTACCTGAGTAAAGGCGGTTACCTGAGTTAGACGTGGGGTCTGAGGTCATGCCAATTAGCACGTACATGAAGATGGCACTAAACCCAGTGCCAAAAGAGCTGTCTAAATTTTTATTTCAAATTTTAGGACGAGACCAAACAATGACATCAGTATTAAAGTGCTTCTACCATCTCCTTTTTGTTATGCCATGTTTCTTCTTTTTCCTTGATTCCTATAAGAAACTTGACACTAATTAAGCTAGCATAAGAAGGTGGTAAAAAAAGAAGATGAATCATAGACCACACTGGAAATAAACCAAGAAATAAGAAAAACTGGTCTCTGCCCCAAAGAAAAACAATGGTGAAAAACTGTGCTAGCAAAGGGGCTATGTACTGAGAGTTTAAATAATTTTTAAAGGACAAAACATGGAGTCTGATAAGATGTACCAGCTGCTTCTCTTTTCTAAAACATTTGCCCAGGAGACAGCTACTAAAGCTTGAGTGTATCTCTCTTGCTGTGTCACAGGATGTTCCTCTCCCCTCCCCACCCCCTCCCTGCTCTCCTGCTGCATGTGTGTGTGTGTGTGTGTGTGTGTGTGTGTGTGTGTGTGTGTGTGTTTGGTTTCTCTCTCCCCCCCGTAAGAACTCAGCCCCCGCCTGTCTCCTGCTGTTGCTGCTGCTTGACTAGCTTGCTGCCTCTTGCCTCTCCTTTCTCTCTCTGCTTAGCACCTTGCCTTCTGGTAAGTATGACAAACACTCCCCCGAGCCCTGTGAGATGATGTAGGGTGTGGTTTGTGGTGTTCAAAACTTGCAACTTTGAGACTGCCGGTGAACTGTTGAAGAACTTTCCATTGTTTTATTTACAATTAAAATGTGTTGCTCAGGAAGGGATGTGTGTGTGGTAATGTGTTGGGACTGCCAGGACAAGTGAAAAATTCTCTCTCAGAGGAGGCAAAAGATGGGCAATGAAGTTTATAGAAGATAAAACAGAAATAATTTCTTGCTGTAAAACTGATTGATATAGAAAGAGAATTTAAAAGTAACAGAGTTCTTTGACTGTTTTTTTCCTCTTGTGGATTTGTCTTGAGGCTACTTTTAGGAATTGAGTTGTCCTGTGGTTAACAATGACTCAGTTATTCTGTTTTAAAGTAAATGTGGAGCATGAGTTTAAAGGAGATCCATGGACTTAATATAAAAAAATCAATGATTATGGCCTCTGATGAATGAATAAATCAAAAACAAACAAAACACTTGCATTTAGACTAACCACACTAAAATTCCTATGGACAATCGGTTTTAAATTCATTGCTTTAAAGTTTGGTTTACTTTAGATTTTATTTCATCCTCAGGAGGCTCCCTAACACTTTAAAACCCACATATGGATTTAAACCAATAAATGTTTACTGTTTTCAATTTGATTTAAAAAGTATTTTCTTCCCTTGATTTCCAAAGACAAAGTGCTAAAGGCCAGGGCTCCTTTTAGAAGAGCTTAAAATAACTTCTGGCTGGACAGCAGGTGCCATGTGTCTTTCTCCAAGTTCAGGGGAAGCATAAGTTATATATAGATGTGTGTGCCCAACAAGCAGGGGTCAGGATAAAGAATTCCAGTGATGAAGACAATGAAGCTGTTTACTGCATCGTCTGATAATAAAGATGGTGAATTAAAATAAATGAGAGAAAAAAGTACTTCCTTCAGAGTTAATGAGTACTTGGTGAGGGCCACAGGTAGGTGGCAATGTCTGTACATTGAATTTTCTGTTCTTGTTTGCATTCGAGCATTTGACATTGCCTGCCCTAAGAACCAGAGGAGGAAGCTGCATAGTACATGGAGCAGTATGTTTTAAGTTTTTGCTTTCCTGCCACCACAACAGCAAAACCTGTGTGTTATTAGGACCCTGTCATCATTGTATGCTGCTAATTAGCAGCATCACCATTAAATATTATTTACAAATAAAACGCACCACAACTTAAAGGTCTAAGCCAAAGGTACTGCAACACTAGAAATGGTGATAGCCAGAAACCCTCAGCCCATTCCTCACCCATTTCCAAAGAGCCCATATTATACCTGGATTATTCCCCTAGTTCATCCCCTCCCTCCTTTTTAGACATTTCTACTTCTTAAAAAGTACTGTTATCCTAGAGCTCCTTGACTGAGACAAGAAAGTTGTAATCTGTTTTTTTTCTAAAAGAAAGTCAGTTTTTATATCAGAACAAAAAGGTATAGAAACTCAAGGAATTGTTATTATGAGCATCACCATGTTTCCATACAAGTTCATTAGTTAATTTATACCTTTCCTCATTCTCTCTTATTCCAAAAATGAGGCTGGTTTGAACCTCAGAAAATAAAAAGTGTTCTTCTGATTGATAATTACATGTTGCTCATTTGGGAAAAGGAAAATACCAGACAAGCAAGTATCTCCTGTATCCAATATAATAGTTCATTTATATTAATGGACTCATACTAATCAATATGGATTAAAATAGAGTTTAGAATGTTATCATTATGAATGATTTTAGTAAGGTCAATGGCTCTTGTATTCAATGTTTTAACTTTGGGGGAAAAAGCACCAATTTAAATTTAAACATTAAATGTATACATCTATGTATTTATAACGATTGTAAATCTACGTAGAATTATATAAGAGAATGGTAACACAAACTGGCTATTCTAAGCAAAATGACAAATATGACCATGAAAAACGGTATCTTGAATTACTCTGTTAACATCAGTAATAGGAGATACTATCGGAATTTAAAGACCAAAACCAAAAATATGCTAATGGTATGACTCGATTTGGAAAGATGCTTCTCACTGTTCCTACTCAACTAATTGCAATATTGATGGTTTGTGGAAGTACATTCATTCTATGTTAGAAACTGTAATTAGTAGGTGCCCATGTGGGAATAGCCTTACCATTTACCTGTAACTGGGTTAACTACATCAACGCTGGCTGTGCTTACCACCAGATACCACTCCCAGTATGGAGACCAATCAGTCTGTACAGCTGTCGGGGGAGCCACACTCAACACCTGTGGGGGACAGTTCAGTATTGCCCAGTCAAAATGGCCTGGAGAAGCAAGATGATCAGGATTCCTCAACCCCACTCCTAGCACCTGAGGAGGAGGCAGGTGTGCAGCCTGAACGGGGAGCCCATGATATCGCTGAAGAATTGAACCGACAGCTGGAAGACATCATTAACACGTACGGGTCTGCTGCCGGCACGGCAGGGGAAGAGGGGCCCCCCACAGCCAAGGAGCAGCCTAAGAAAAAAGACCTGACAATGAGGACAGGGCCTGCGAGGAGGCCGCTGAAGAGACGGAGAGAGAACCTCCGGCCTCTGGAGAGCCGCCCACAGCCAAAGAGCCTGTCAGCAATAAAGAGCAAAAACTGGAGAAGAAAATTCTAAAAGGATTAGGCAAGTAGTTACGTTCTAATAATGTATGACTTTTCTTTGAATTATTCCTAAAAAGGGGCACTTCCTCCAATCTTGCTAAGAGCCACACATCTCATATTTGGATTTTACCACAATAGCTTCCTTCAGGATCACCAGTACCTTACTGTACTTATCCTCAGCCCCTTAGTAGTGTGTTCCATTACTACATATATAAAATATTTTTTAATTTAACAAAGCTCTTCAGAAATGTATTAATTATAGAATGTTGAAAATCTCAGAAAACAATTTTACTCTCATTAGTTCACTGGTTCAGCAAATATTTACTAATGCCTAGTCTTTATGAGGTACACAAAGATAAAAAAGTCTTTGGTTAAGGAGCTCTAGGTCTGGAGAGAAAAATAGACATGTACACTAATTGTTATATAGGATAAGTGCGACAACAGGCACAGGAAAATTGTTAGGAGAGCATGGAGGATTGGTAACACCAAAAATGGCTGTGAAAGAAGGATGACAGAGTTAATTTTTTAGCTATAAGTGAGAGCATGTTACTGCACATAGGAGCGTCCCTCTGCTTGTCTTGGTGAATTTCACTGAAACACTCACTACAATCACCATCTCCTATGTGATACATTCCCTGACATGCCCAGGTAGAGTTAGCATCACATTCCGTCGTTCTCCATGAAATTTTCTGCAGCAATCATTTGTTTATATACCTGCCTCCCAAGCTGGAGGGAGAATCTATTGAGACAGTGGTCACATCTTACTCGTTTCTGGAAGACAGTGTGGAAGAGTAAAAGATCATGGGCGCTGGAGTCAGACTCCAGTGAACAAGTTACGTGTAAACCCCAAAGTATGTCTATGCTGTCACAGGACCTCACTTTGGCGTGTGAAACCACTGCTGGCAATGCTTTCAAGAAGGGCTAAAGGACACATTCAGACAGCTACTCTACCTACATAGCATAAAGATTAACCCAGATAACACCAAGTTCTAAAGTGCAAGATTAGAATCACTTTAGTGTTTTGGAACTCTAGGAAACAGAATAAATTTGCTCTGTCTTACAGAGCTCTTTTTTCTTCCCTATCCAAGGCATCTCAGAAATAACCTTTTGCATTAGTCATTGTTAAACTTTCCGTAAGATAAAACAAAATCACGTCGCAGAGGTCAATGATTTTAAGTATATTCCTAACCGGGAAAGTTCTTTGGCTTTATCACTTTGAAACTACTTCTGCATAGGAATTCGTATGTGTTATAATGGGGGGATAGGTATGAAGAAAGCAGGGGTGAAGTTAAACATGACCAATTTTGGTTTCTATTCTGTCTTCCATGAGTTATTTCAAAGTCTGTATTAACCTCATACTTACCAAATAATCAAAAAAATTCTTAGAGAAAGAAAACATTTCACAACTAATTCTGCCACTTTCTATAAGTTACCAAAGTTCAACTGAATGTGTTTATCAGAACCAATGTTTGTGACCAGAGTGCCCAGGTGGGTCCACTCTAATTACGTGTGTATAAGCTGCTGACACTTTCATGCTGTTCCTCTGAACACTATCAGTATATTCTTCTAAACACTGTACTATTTCAGCTATATTATGAGTTAAAACAATATTTTTTTAATTAATTAATTAATTATTTATTTTTGGCTGTGTTGGGTCTCCGTTTCTGTGCGAGGGCTTTCTCTAGTTGCGGCGAACGGGGGCCACTCTTCATCGCGGTGAGCAGGTCTCTCACTACTGCGGCCTCTCTTGTTGCGGAGCACAGGCTCCAGACACGCAGGCTCAGTAGTTGTGGCTCACGGGCCCAGTTGCTCCGCGGCATATGGGATCCTCCCAGACCAGGGCCCGAACCCGTGTCCCCTGCATTGGCAGGCAGATTCTCAACCACTGAGCCACCAGGGAAGCCCAAAACAATATTTTTAAGCTAATTTAAATATTTTAAACATCATTTCAATTATCTGCAAGTGGTTTTAACAGGTTTCTTGGCTGTTTTTCAATTAAACGATACTACACTATGGTCTAGACCAATGATTTCAAACTTACTGTGCATTGGAATCAAATGCAGAATTTGTCAAAAATGCTGTTGCTGAGCAGAGAGATTCAGAATTGGTAGGTCTGGACTGGGGCCAAGGCACCCTGGGTAATTTGGACACAAACAGATTGTGGAAGCAATGGTTCTGATGCTTCGGAAAGTTCTTCCTCCACCCATCTGAAGAAAATATAAAGTGCCAGCTGTGGTCTTCTTTTAGAAACTATTTGAAGCTTTTATAGAATATTAGTATGTCATTCAATCCATACCCGAAGATATATCTTTAGTCTTTGCTTACATATTTGATCAAAGATGAGTCTTTAATTATTGTATGTTTATCACATAACATTTGCTTTATTGATACATCTGAGATACTGAAATGTTCTGACTCTCTAACCCCAAATTTTCCAAAGTATATACTTTGGGATATTTGAGATTTCAGACCAAGCTTATTTCCTAACTGCCAGAATTCTCTGACCTCTAATATATACAATAGTGAAAAATCTCCAATAGTGATGGGCACAGTTTACAACATTTCCTAAATTTATTGGACCAAAAACACCCATCTTTCACAGAACACCTTTGAATATTTGGGAAATGTCTCTACAACCCAAGCACTCACGACTTGTTTTTCCTTTACAGGCTGCATATCCTCCCACAGTTAACATATTATACACTGGAGCAGCTGGGGGAACACTTTAAAATCTCTTTAGTTGGTGGAGTCACTTTCTCCTTGATATTGACCAAAACAAAAAACAGATTCCATATTAGACAGCACCATGACATGTCCTCTTAACATCTAAGTGTCCCCATTCCTTCCCCCACCCCATCTTCCAGCTCACAAGTGTCTTATTAATCTCTTCTCTGTCAACGTTACGTGGGCTGCACAAGTCCCACATAGTAAGAAGCACAAAACAATGATAAAATGTAATATCCCTTCTGATATTTAGATTGATAACTGATTGAGTAGGAATTCATAGGTTTGAAGCATAAACCCACGAGAAAAACAAAGCTGATCCACAGGTCCATTCTGAGCTCAGAATCTATCTAGTCAACTCACTGATTTACTGAGAGGGAAATTAAAGCCTAGAGAGTTTTAAAGTCTGCCAAAAAAAAAAATTATTCAACTAATTGATGTGGTTGTGAGATTAGTCATAAAGAAAGCAAGGTGCAGACCTGAAGTCACTAATATTACAGGGCCAAAGATATATAAAAATAATTGATATGTTGGTTGAGGAGCATTTAATTGAGCTATAGTTCAGTTAATTGGTTTCATCTTTCCAGTGACAGGTGAGTTTCAGTTCTACCTTCTGAGTAGCATCTTGACTAGGACATTGATTTTCTAAAATCTTTTCGGCCATTGACTTACTCTGACTTAGAATGGTCACCTTCCCAGGTAGTCTATTTTATAAGATTTTAGCTTGATTTTTTTTCTAGTTTCACTCTGAGAAGGAAATAAACTGTTGCTTTGATATAAATGCTAAATTTTCTGGAAGAAATGGTAGAAAACCAGAATTTAGGAGAGAGAGGAATCCACAGAGACTGAAGGGTTCATGAGTAGAGTCATAGAGAAGCTCAAACTTAGGCCAGATCCTGAAACGAAAGGAGGGTTTAGAGGAGTAAGTGAAGTAAGAGGAAAAAAAAATTTGTCTTGGGCAAAATGATTAGTACTTTCTTCTGACCCAAGTTGGGAATGGATGTATTTATTTCTTACTGCTTTTTCTGATATTATTCTTTTTTATTGTAAGGTTTTGCTTTATTTTGTTTTCCCTGGAATAATCTCCTCATTATTAGGCTCAAAGTTGTTTTCTTTTTAAGAAAGTTTTCTTTATAGTTATAGTTAAGAAATTGCTAGCAGCTTAAACACATAAAGCCGATTTTTCCTCTGTGTCAGACATTGTCACCAAATGACCCCATTTCCTAAAATTGTAAATATAGCCTTTCTTAGAAGATGAGTGGGTCTCTGTCTATCCCCCTCCTCAACATAATCCCACACAGCACTCTAGTCCAGTGAAACCAATGGAAGTTTACAAATTAAGCTCTCTGATGTTACAAAGTTACGTATTCCATACATGCTTGTCTCCAGTTTCTTGGATTTTTTTGTTGAAATCATTTTTGAAGGGCAGACTGTTGCATCTGAATGTTAAACTTCTATACCAAATAAGAGAATATAAGAGCAGAAAGACACCTCAGTGAGTGTGACAATTAAAAACAAAAACAAAAAACACCTGTTCTCATCATTAAAGAAAACAAAAGGGGGAGAAGATACTGAATGTGGAGAGAAAAAGAGACCCACTGGACTCACTCAAGACACAATACGGTTTTCTACGTCGATACTCACACTGAGAGGTATGCTAAGCATACATTAAATGTCACAGGGGAGGGGAAGACCTGTCTTTCCCCTAGTTGATCACAGAGTTGTCTTCTGGACAGTGTTTACTTGACTTACATGATATTAGTGCACAGGTTGGCTTTGTTCCATTATTACCAAGATTTACTAAACACTTGCCATGGGCCAAACACTGTGCGGGGTCCTGGGCCAAATCTGACCAACAGTGCAGTCTCTTGCCTTTAACGGATGATCCTCCAACTCAGGACAGCAGTCATCACGTGAGCACAAACTGAAGACAAGGGTGAGGGGATGGCCTGACCAACACAAGTCTGTCCCTGCTGCTACGGAAATCACTCAAAGCTACACCTCGTGGCGGCGGAGCGCAGAGCTTACCAGTTTAAAGGCAGTGTTATGCCACAGGCCATACTGGATTGCTGGTGGGGCACCACTCACCCCTGTCTCAGACTGTGTCTCTAATCTGAGCTGACTCACTGGGCAAATATAGATGAAACCAGCTGTTAGGAATGAGGTCACTTTTTTCAAAAAAAGTTTCCTTTAATTTCTCTAGGTTTCCCTGGCATCAAAATTCCACATGGGAGTGGATTGATTTAGAGCAAGTAGACAAACCTTGGATTCAAGCCTTGGCTCTGCCAGGACTGATTATGTAACTTTGGACTTCTCTGGGCTTTCGATTCTTAATCTATAAAATTAACCAGTTGTCTGGGTGCTCTTTGAAGTTCCTTCTAGATCTAAAATTCTTTGATGCCGTTAGAGTTATCAGTTTTAGCAAATGAAAATACAAGCTTCCCAGGGAACTTTGAATTTCAGATAAACAAACCATTATTTTTTACTACGAGTGTGTCCCATGTCCTGTATTTCATCTGGCAATCCTAACTCCATGATATATCTGCCTCTCCAGGATGAAAGCAAAAATTCCAGCAAAGGAGACATGGCTGTTCTTGGGGGAGAGGTTGTCAAAGTTGTTAATATTCTTAAGCAGATTTATATCAGGAAACTTGGGCTCCACTGTATGGTCTGACCTGCCAACCCTGATTAGAAAGGGTGGCTGTCACAGGTGGGTGAGGATGGGGAAGCTGCTCCACCTTGGCCCTACTGTTTGCAAAGATACATTCAGTGGTACATACACGTAGGCCTCGGGGTCTGGCTCCTGCCTACAACGCTCAGCCCAGTGGGCACTGAAAGACAAGAGTTCCAGGCATCATAGAAAGGCTAACCAGGCAGTTTGAGCTGAAGAGGACAAAAGGAAGAACAATGGGGAAAGAAAAGAAAGAATCTGAGGCTCACTGTCAAATAATCATGAACAGATGAGTTTTTAAATGTAGCATAAACTCCAACTGGAAACAGAAAATGAAACTGCCAACAGAGATTAAGGCCTGGGTGAGAGAAGGGAAGACCCAGGGAGACTAAATCTGCAGCCAGAGAGACACAAAAAGGCCTGTGAAAAAGGCCCTGCATGTCTTGGGTCCATTTTCTCTATATTTTGACTTTATTCCCCACTTGTTAGGAAATACAATCAGAGTCATTCCACCCAAACTTCATGGAGAAGGCTCATGCACAGAAACAAGAGAATTGGTTCCCCCCGCCACCCCCCGCAAAAGAGCAAAGAGGTACTAAAGGAACAAAACCAAAAAAATGGGCAGACTAAACTGTCATGTTTCTCTGCTTCGGCCTGGAATTTTAACAGCTCCATGTATTAATGCTGGCTGTTTCACAGTAGTCAGATATTTGGATAGGCTGGTTTGCTTCTTTTCTTAGATAATTAACATGGGGAAGTGGATGATTTATTCTTTCATAAAGTCAGTGTTTTTTATTCTTTTGAATATTTCCAGAATGTTCAAAATCCCTTGGAATATTTAGAACATGGGGGGAAGTAACAAGAATGGATTTTTGGGATGAAAATTTGGGGACTACCCTTATAACAGACATTTATTGAGAATCTACCATGAGCCTGACACTGTACCACAGATTTTTACAAACTTCTCATCTAATCACTTATTCTGCAAAATAGGTATCATTCCTTCATACAGGGGAAATAAACCAAAATTACAACTGCGGCTCAGACAAGTGAAGTGGCTTGGCCAAGGTTGGATAGCAGCGAACAAGCAGACAACCTGAGATTCTAACTCTTATCATCTGACATCAAGTTCAACGCTTATTTTTTTAAATGTCTTTATGGTCTTTGTTTTCTTTTAAGGCAAAGAAGCCAATCTGCTAATGCAAAATCTGAACAAGTTGCAAACTCCTGAGGAAAAGCTTGATTTTTTATTCAAGAAGTATGCTGAATTGGTAAGTTCTTTGATTAGCCCTTTCTGTCAGAAAGATTCAAGCTCTGGTTAGAGCTGAGAAAAGGATGCTGTTAGTTTTTCAGGTATATCATTATAGCTGGTTACCTCAGACAAGTCAAAGCCAGAATTCATAAAGGCAGAATTTTTTTTTAAAGAAATAAATAAATAAAAAGAAACAGAAAAACTGAGGAATAAGAGCCAAAGGAAGAAAGAGGATACAGTTGGAGTCTACTCCACCTTCAATTATGTGCATAATTTGGGAGATGGAAGAGAGAATCATAGATAAAAATTGTGAATATTTAAAAGTTCTTTTTGCCTTTGCAATAAAACAGAAATACACTAGAATAAAGGCAAACTTTCATCTGGTTCTTGTACACAGATTTTTTGAGGGGGTGGTCCCCTCAGGAAGGCAGAGGGTTGAGTTAATCCCACCCCTCAGTTTGTGACACATTCTCCTCTATTCTTGATGACTTTATTGATTGATACATTCATTCATTCTCTTTGATCTACATTCTTCTCCTTGTCCCCCACAATGGCAAAGCATTTGACATGGATTGTTTTGTTTCCGGTTATAGGTCCTCCCATGCAGTCTCCCTCTCTATAAGGTAGGACCACTGGCAGGAAGGGAAGCCACTCCCAGACTTCAGAGAATCTGTAAAGTGGATGGTCTCCTCGCCAGTACTCTTATAATAGGCCAGTTGGAAGAAAGAGGAGGGTTCAGTGAAGCCAGCCCCCCTAGTTTCAGTGAACCCTCACAAAAACTGGCTAAAGGAGTTGCACCTGAGGTCCGTGCACCACCCCTGAGGTCCGTGCACCACCCCTGAGGTCCGTGCACCACCCCTGAGGTCCGTGCACCACCCCTGAAGTGTACGAGACCCACTGAGGAGATGTGGTGTCCTCTCAAGTGAGGCTGGGCAATGTACCTCACTCTCATTTCTGCTTCTTTTCCTCATTTTATTTTCCACTTTCTTATTTCTTTTACAGAAGCAGTGACAGGAAAATGAAACTTAAGCCCCTACACACAACAAAACAATTCCTCCAGGCAGTAGATTGAACTGCCCCTGAAGGCAGATTTACCTTACAGCAAAAAGCTTAAGAGTCAGTGCCTCTCACTTGTATGGGCCCCTCTGAGGCCCTGAACATAATTCTCTTTTTTAGATTTTTTTCCTTTTTTTTTTAAAAAAGGTCTCCAAAACTGAGACCCACAAACCCCTCAGGTCTCTGGCTGCATCTTATCCCTATTGATGGAGTAGAGTTTAGTGAGTGACTTGTTTTCCTTCTTTTTTTACCCTAATTTTAGCACTGTGATCCCTATTTATTCTTTCCTTTCTTCCTTGTACCTCGATGCATCCTGTTATGCTGAACTGTCATGCAATAGACCCAGAGAAATTCTGAAACACTGAATGACTAGTGATTGCTTAACTCTACCAACAATACTTAAATTATTTTTTAATCACATAAACCACATCACTATAATATAAGGAAAATGAATACACAAGTAAAAATATCTCTACTCCTACAATCTAAAACACAATCGTTGATTTATCTGTCTTCCTTTCCAGTTCTGCCATACATTCAGAGATACCTTTTGTATAACTACCATCATAAGGTGCATATAATTTAGTATCTGTTTTTTTGGTTCATATGACAGACATTTTCCCATGTACTTTGTAGTCTTCATCATTATATTTTGTCAAAGCTATGTAATTTCCCATTAATTGACTTTATCTACTGGTTCTCTAATTTGGGGACATTTGGACTCCTTCCAGTGTTTGTTTTACCAAATATTGCTGCAGTGAACATCATCATGCATGAGATTTGTTCGTTCTCTTTTATGATCCTAGGAAAAACTCTGAGAATTGGGATTACTAAATCAAGCAGTATAAATGCTTTTTTGAATGGCCATATTGTTTTCCAAAAGAATGGCAGAAATTTATAAAGCAAGTATTAGTGTATCAATTTTATTGCAACTTGTTTAACATTGGCTGTTAACCACTCATGAGCAATTTCAGTGCCATAAAATGGTAGGTGTCAAATTTAATATTTTTCCCCCAAATCTGGCCCCATCCTCACCTGTCCATCCTTGCTCTTTTCAATAATTACTACATTGATTTCCCTTTGCCCTTCAATTTACTCACTCATACCAAGGCCATTCATATTTAGTTCCCAGTGCCATGTTCCATACTTGGATGAACTGGGCATCTTTCTAGACTACTACTCTTTATGGTGCTGTAGCCCCACAGCAGATTATCGGGAAAGAACCACTTATCCAATCTTTCCAAGATTTTCTTCATGAGCCAGGGCTGTTCACCCTGGTCTCCAGGAACTCCCCAAGCCCACTCACTCTCCTAGCCAAGAAGTCAACCCCACAGAGGTTATTTTTCCAAAAATTCTACTCAATTCAAGTCTTACTATACTTTGGCATTTGTATCATACCCTATAATAAACTTTTAAACTCAAAATATCATTCTAGAAAAAATGAATAGGAGAAAATTGACCCCCAAACCCCATCACATATCCTTTTCAGAAAGGAAAAATTATGAAGAATTTCAATCTTCTACTTGGACACTAAAAGCTATTTTCGCTGCTCACTGATTCAGATATTAATACAGAGAGTGTCTGAAATACAAGTGTTAACATAGAATAAATCATTAAATTCAAGGCTGTGAATCAAACTGTAACCCTAGCTCAGTCATCCTTACAGATTCTAAATCCTGTAATATCATCAACTATTGTATTTACTAATAAATAAGTTCATTAATAAATGACACCTCATGACTAAATTAAGAAATGACCTGGAAGAAATATTTTTTGCAAATTTCCTCCATTTAAAAGTAGTTACAACGTTACTAACTACTTGGCATTAATTTTACTTTTTTAACTTAATAGTAAAAAAGAGAAATTCCAGATAAAAATCTTATATGCCTGTTAGAACTGTACAGAAGACACATGTCTAAGGGTATTATTAAACCACAAGGCCAGCATTTGACTGAAGTTGACCCAGCTGCAATACGTTTGCTTTCATTCATTAAGAAACCCCATATGCATTCACATAAATCTGAAGTACTAAACAAAATTAGCCACACTCTAACAAAAAAAAATCATCAGCAAGTTAAGGGGCTCTATTTAGAGCAAAGCAGGACAGACCTAGCTGTATTTCAGATGTGTATGATCCTGCCTTAAAACTGGAACATTTAAATGGCCAGTGAGGTATAGCACAAATCCTCTCTTCCAACTTATGAAACACATGCAAGGTATCCTCCTCCTGATGCTCAGATAAATCCACACATAGTGCAGTGTTCCCCCAAACAGGGGAAGTTTTGCCAACCATGGGCCAGCAGGCAATGTCTCTGGAGATACTCTGGATATCACAGTTGCGGGGGCAGGGGGGGGGGCACTGGCATCTGGTGGGTAGGGGCCGGGGATGCGGCTAAACAGCCTGCAATGCAGGGGACAGCCTCCACAGCAAAGGACGATCTGTCCCCAAATGTCAACAGTGCTAAGGTTGAGAAACCCTGACAAATGGTTTAATCTTCCAAAGGTAAAGTCTGAACCAAAACGGCAATAACAATAATAACAACATATAAATGTCAAGAAAGGACAACAGGTCATGTAAAGTACAAACACAAGCATGAGAAGTTTCACCCCTGTCTAATAACTATGGTGCAAAATGAGGTTAGCACGAGAAATATATAATAAAATATAATTGGTTTTACAGTTGAACCTCAAGAAGGATACCAATTTCAATCAATATTTATAGTAATATGGACTTAGTTTTTCCTGATGTTAATTCTCACTAATAAGTAAAAAATGTCCTGAAGTATGAAGATAGAATATCATGCATGAATAGCCCCAGCTTAATCTGGCAAGGGTTTATCATGGACATTTCAGGCTGATGGGAGGGAGGGAGGAAAGGATTAAAATAAGATGTAAACTGAAGAAAGTGTGACAGTCCTGTTCATCTAGTTCAGAAAGAACAAATGCTTTTTCAAGACAGGGTAACTGAGACATGTATCAGGGCTCACGTTGTGTGTGTATCCATTTGCATCTGGCTCTGCGAGGTACCAGGAGCACCTGGGGTCCAGAAGCACCCAGAGGCTCCCAGGCCTTTTCCTCTTCATTAGCCAACAAGGTCATTATTAGGACGAGTACCCTCCTGGCCTATGCACCATTCAGGTTCTAAGGGAACTAAGTGCAGCAGAGGAAATGGGTCTGGAAAAAGGCTCCAGCTTGTTCGTGGCCACACTGATCATCAATCTGGGATCCACACTCCTACTACACTAGTCTCTGGAGGCTGAACCCCCAATTCCCCCCATTCCAACAAGATTTCCATAAAAATGTGTTGTCAAATTTACCAGATAAAAATACAGAACGCCCAATTAACTTTGCATTTCAGGTAATCCAACAACATTTTTTTTTAAGTAAAAGTACGTTCCATGCAATACTTTGGATATACTTTTACTAAAAACGTATTCACTATTTATTTGAAATTCAAATTTAACTGGGTGTCCTACATCTTACCTGGCAACCCTACCTCAGAACTTTAGCATCCTGAGATGGAAAGCCCAGAGGTTCATTGGTTTCATTTTCCATGCCGCCCTTGATTTCGATACTTTAGCTGTGGCTGCTGGAGAAGTGAGAGAAGAGGCCCCACCTGTGCTCAGCAGCTACAAGTGTCATGGTTTATTCACCGTAAGTACAGAGGGTGAGGGAGATGGGCAGGGAGCAAGGCTTGTTAAGGATACTTGCCATGTGTGCTGTTGGGCTGTGCAGTGGCTATTTCTGAAACTTTGGTGACAGATCATGAATCCTTAAGTAGTCGAGGAGTACATTCTCCGCTCCCCCTTTCTCAAAACCACAGACTTCATCTTCTGTCTGCTAGGAAGCTGCTTTTCACTTTCCTTTTAAAAATAGTTACTAAAGCTTGTCTTAAGAATTGTGAAAACTAAATGTAAACCAAGCAGACACACCATTGACTATCCTCCTAACGCAAGGCATTATCATGAATTCTGAGACATGCTTCTATACTGACTGACTTCATTAGACTCAAGAAAGATAAAACTGTTTCTAGACCACCAAGAAGATCAAAGCAAAAGAGATCAATAATAAGAATGATGAAGGAAAAAAACCCATAAATGTTATGCTCTTAAAACCATATCTACAAGTACTGCCAAGTTAACATTTATGAAGTTCTTTTGATTCCAGAGGGACAGTGATAATAGCAAAACATTTTCCAAACAACCATACAGCGGTCTTTAGGCGTTTCCTCTTTGGGTCCCTTTCTATCAACTCAACAGAGATCCCTGCCGTTTTCTTTCACATTTGCATCCCCACATCCAGCTGGATGAGCATCGCACTGAGCAAAGGAAGTTAAAACTCCTACAGAAGAAACAGGCACAGATCCAAAAAGAAAAGGACCAGTTACAAGGTGAACACAGCAAAGCTATCCTTGCACGAAGCAAACTGGAGGGTCTGTGCCGGGAGCTGCAGAGACACAACAAGACACTGAAGGTATGTGTCACCGAGGCCCCACATAACACACCTTTTTGCATGCTCTGTAGGCACAGGCTTCTGCTACTTACGGTAAGGGTGTGAGTTTTAGAATCAAAGAAAATTGGGTTCAAATACTAGCCCTGCCACTTGCTCACCTGTAACTTGCAATAAATTATTTTACCTCCCAAGCCTGTTACCTCATCCATAAAATGAGGATTATACCAACTTTGCTGCGTGGTCAGGGAAAAATTAAATGAGGCCACACATGTAAGGTGCTCACATAGTACCTGATGTGGAGCAGAACTTTAGTAAAATGTGTGCCATTCCTCTTCCTTATGTTGAGTTTGTTTCGTTTTGTTTTTTAAGGTAGGCCTTAGTTCTACTCTTTAAAATACAAATTTATAAAAAATTCAACATTTTTTGTACGATAATGAAATCTGCATGACATGAAATAAATTGACACAAAGCTAACTGACAGAATAAGGCAAGATTCAGAGCTAAAATGTCAATAGTCATCTGAAAAAAGAAGCTACTCGAAAAAACAGTGAAGCTCTTCAAGCTTAATTATGCAATCTAAAAATAACAGGCTGATCACTTCAGTCAGTCTGCATGGGTTTCATTAATTACAGAGTAAGCCTCTAGCAGTGTGGTTAATTTGATTACACACAGACACTAGCTCCATCCAGTGAAGCAAGATGCAGGGCTCTCCAAGATAATACTGCATGCATCCACAATCCCCTTTCCAGCTGAAGATCTTAAAGCTTTTGACAAACAAGAATTAATTAGATAGCAATATTCTTGTGAGATAGTTATTATTACACGTGTTTAAAAGAAGATACTTTAAGAAACAGAGAGATTAAGATCATCGCTAAGTTTTTACAATGGAGTTAGGAAGAAAAATGGAAGAGGATAATGGCTCCTCATATCCCAAATCTATTTTCCGATATCTGGGAAATGAGAGGCCAGTGTGATGAACTCTAACTCTCAAATTACTAGTTGTAGGAGATGGGCTTCTGACATCTCTTTAATCATTGCACTGGGACAATCGAAACCCAGGTTATATGGGAATGGGAGCATCCTCCTCAACTTCAGATATGTAATCAAGTAATAGCACTCTGTGCTTACATAACTCTCCTGGCTTTCAGTAGTGTTGTATAGTAAGGAGATAAAAGTTAAATTTCCTTTAATGATGTGGATGGAATGATGTGGCTTGATCTCTTTGGACAGCATTCAAAGACAGAATGACGCAAGTGGCAGGAGATCCTGTAGCTATACCCACACACCCTCAGTAATGGCTTCCAGTTATGGAAATGGAATTAAGTAGCATTATTATGCCAGGACTTGTGCTGAGTGCTTTTACATACACATTAGGTGTAATGTTCCATAAGTAACAATTAGCTCTAGATCATTTATGTCTTTACTGAATTTTTGTCTTGTTGCTCTATCAATTGCTGAGGGATGGGTGTAAAAAATCTCCTACTATAATTGTGAAATTGCCTACTTCTTTCTTTTAATTACATCAATTTTTGACGATAGGAATCATCTAGTTCAAGCTATCCGTATGTCTATATGTAAATTAATAATTTATTGATTCATTAAATAAACATATACTGAATACCCATGGATTGTGTCCCAGGCACAGCACTGGTTCTAAGATGCACAGCGATGCTTGAAAAGTTTTCTTAGTTATTTCAGATTTTGTCCCTCAATTTTCTTTGCATTATTAATTTTCACTTTGAATTTTGTGCATGATAAAGAAAACTTTATCTCAGACATTGTCCAAATGATTGCATTTTCTTTACCAGTGGACTCAAATTTTATGACTGCAGTACATTTATTTTTCTCTCATTGAAAAACAATGTAATGTAAAATGCAAGACGCCATTCTGTGGGCCAGGATTGGGTGCTATGATGGTTTGACATGTGTTTAATGCCATATTAACAGCCATACCTTCTTTCTCTAGCCAGTGGCCAGTGAAAAACTCAGACGTGCTGGGTAGCATGGGGTGGTCCTTTCATTTACTCATTCATTCATGGATGGAACAGTTATAAATGCAAATGACATTCAGATCATGGAGTATAATTAATTCTACGACTAGGAGGTTGTTGGCTTCTAAACTAATCGGGAACAATAAGGAGACAATCACTAACACATGTATATTCGACTGCTCTTAACAGACACCAAAATCACTTTTAGTGAAATACATATAGTAAGTGTTAGCAATCAAAGTTCAGGGAAATAACATCTCCGATAGTTAATTTCTTCAGATTAGGAAGTGTAGATTTCTTCTACAATATATTCCTAAGAAATTTCCACTCAATAAATGTTTACACTATGAATAAATTATGATTCTGATATCAGGAGTCATAGTAGAGTTAGAAAATATTCAAATATTGTAGAAGAAAGGGGATACGTAATGATAAATTAAAATATTTCCAGAGCATGTATTTTCAGCATCAACTTTTATTTTGATCACATTATTCTACTGTAATAATAAAGATTTGCACAATTACTTCTGTTTCAATCGGCATTTCTTTTTAAAAATCCTGTTACATAATTTGATCATGGTAGGCAACTAAATGCAGTATAATTTTACTTGCCAACAATGAAGCAAGCTTTCATAATAACAATTAATCAGAACTAAAGGAATCCTAAAATGTCTGTATCACTTGTCAGCAGTGTCTCTACCTTTGGTATGATGTAGCAAGATTAAGCCCTTTTATTTTAAAAGAATGAGAGGAATAAGTACAACGCAAATAATTCTCAACATAGATATGGGGAAAATTTGGGTACCTTGTCAGCAGTTAGCAATGAAGGGGGACTTCTGATTTAGGAGAAAAGAGAACAGCAATGATATGAAAGTTAATTTTCAATTCTTAAATGTTAACAAAGTAGAAGAGGAGAATATTAGATATTTCATTTTAGAGTTAAAGAAGATTTGAAACATAACATTGCTTTCAAATTCAAAATTTACACTGAACGTTTCCATTACCCTATGAGACACAATGGATGATTGTTCCTTCAAAAAATATCCAGCATAGGGGACTTCCCTGGTGGCGCGGTGGTTAGGAGTCCGCCTGCCAATGCAGGGGACATGGGTTGCGCTCTGGTCTGGGAGGATGCCACATGCTGTGGAGCAAGTAAGCCCGTGCGCCAGAACTACTGAGCCTACGCTCTGGAGCCTGCGAGCCACACTACTGAAGCCTGCGCGCCTGGAGCCTGTGCTCCGCAACAAGGGAGGCCACCACAAAGCCCGTGCACCGCAACGAAAAGTGGCCCCCCGCTCGCCGCAACTAGAGGGAGACCACGTGCAGCCACAGGGAGCCAACACAGCCAAAAATAAATACATAAATTTATATATAAAAAAAAAAATCCAGCATATTTTCTAAGATTTCCTTTTACATTCTTGAATTGCTGTAATTCATCTATGGTTATCTTAGTTTCCTTTTCAAGCTTTTTGATGAAAGTTTTTTTTTTAACTAAAAAAAAATTTATATTGTGATCACTTATATTTAAAAAACTTGGGCAATACAATTATGTGATTAATATGCCATCATTTTTATAGAGGCATAAGATCTATTGTTCTTCTTTCTATACCAAACCAAAGGAACACATGATATGTCCCATCAATCAGTAAAACCAAGTGGCCTTTTTTTCCAGGCTACAGCCAAGAGATCAGAACCTTAGGGCTGCATGTCTGTTAGAAATCCCTGCAGTTTATTGACTCAACAGGGGACCCATTGTCTTTAAAACAAGCCTACTCATCACCAACTATCAAATTCAAGGCCCTTGCTGCACCTGCTCTGAGTGACCGTGTATTCACAACTGAAACCTTTGCTCAAACATTTATTTGGGGGCTGAGCAATGTTACCTCTAGAGAGCTGAGGAAAAAACATCCTTCTTATCCTGCACACTAATCTCCTTTCATTGACCAAACCCTGAGTTCTGTAAACCCTGGTGCGTGTAAACCAGCATAACAAAAGAGTTTGCTTTCTATCCACAGGAAGAAACCCTTCAGAGGGCACGTGAGGAAGAAGAGAAAAGGAAGGAGATCACAAGTCATTTCCAGAGCACACTCACAGATATCCAGGCCCAGATCGAGCAGCAGAGTGAGCGAAATATGAAGCTCTGTCAGGAGAACACTGAGCTTGCAGAGAAACTAAAAAGCATCATTGATCAGTATGAGCTCAGAGAGGAGGTGAGAACCACATCAAACAACTTAGAAGCACTACATATAAAACCGGATCTGGGTTGTGAAGGTGGGGGACTTGGTTAATGACAAAGTTATGGCCAGCCCTCTCGATTGATTAATATTTAGGGTTGGATTTCTTTTACTAGCCAAAATAAAAACAGACGGTATTACAAAGTACCTGGCTGAAAGTCATACAGGATTTCTTCAAAACTAGAATCAGTGCAAAGCAAAGGTAACAAATAGAAAGTGGTGGGCCGTGAACACAGTTATTCTTGAAAATAGTATTTCTCAGCCTTTTTGAAACTCTCTCTACAGAACCAAGAAATACCTCACACACCCCCTCTTAAGAATTACTATGTCACCTAAATTAAAAGTCTGCGTTGTATATACCCCACAATCAAATAATATATAAAATATTACTATATAGTAATTATAGTAATAATGGCATTATTATTTATGCTTAGCTTGTGCCAGGCAATGTGCTAAGTATTATACTTTACATACAATATGTCATTTAATTGTCTCAACAATCTTATGCACCAGATGATAACATATTATCCACATTTTATAGATGGAAAGCAGAGGCTATGAGATTCAATCACTTATCCACAGACACAAAAGCCAAAGAGTTTTGTTGTCAGTGGTTTACATTAGGGGGACTATAAGGATCTTTTATTATTCCAAAATTAAACTTTAATATTCAATATGTTTTTAAGACTCCAGATGCCCCCTCAGGATTTTGATATATCATATCCCTTTTCCTGTCCCACTCAAATTTTAAACATCTGCCTTAAAATGTAATATAACATAGTCAAAGTAGCCCTGTTGGCAACATGCTAAGGTTTTATCAAGAAAAAACCTGAGCCAATAGAAGGTGGTAATAGCAGTTAGGTAAATCAAGAAACTCCTCACAGTAAGCCATAATGCCATGCTACCATTTTATCTTGTCACGAAGATCAATCCTGCTCCGAAGTGGAGGTCCAGGAGAAAACAAAAGGGAAGGAGCTAAAAAGAAAATGTCCATACTCTTCAGAGAGATCTCATATGGGAATGGCCTGGTAGACTAGTTGTATATTCCTAGGATTGGTTCTAGGTAAGGCCCAAGGATGGAATTCCACATGTCCTCTTGCCAGTGGGACCTCCTAATGACCAATAAATTCTCCACACTGAGGTAGAGTTGGAAGTTTCTCTTCACCAAGGTAGTCAAGAGGTCAAAAGGCATGGAGGAGGCAGTAGCACATCTGCGTGTCAATTCACCTGTGACCCTCAGCCTCGTCTTGCCCACCAGAGAAACAGAGCTGATGTCAGGGGCTCCTGTTTCAGTCCCAGACCCAAGGCCACAGGCTGTTACCTCAGGGCTTCCTCACCACCTTTTGAGGCAAGCATGTAGAGGAGAATTCACCATGATAAACTGAATTAATGTTGTGATTAAAAGTGGTTTTATATTCACAGAAAGAGACAAAATACCAAGTGATAGTGCTGTAGCCCTTGCAACATACATCATTGTCTGTGCTGCCTAGCATAATTACTAGCGCCATATCCAATAGTTACCAAATTTAGAAAAATACTGTTCGGACCTTTTGGAGTTAGCATTGCTGAACTCTGGCACCTCCACCTTTTGCAGCAACTTTTGTGTAGTGCAAAATGCAGGGGACTCCACCAATTTATGACTTTTATATAAAACCATAAGCGATGCCAATGCATTTATTCTCTTTTTTTTTTCAAATCTTAAAACCCAGCGAACATGTGTTTATGTCAACATTACTTTTTTTTTTACATTTTTTTCAGCACCAATAATAAGTCAAGCTTGATAATGTGCACTTTATTTTTCTTAGCACCTGGACAAAATATTTAAACACAGAGAACTGCAGCAGAAGCTGGTGGATGCAAAACTTGAGCAGGCGCAAGAAATGATGAAGGAAGCAGAGGAGCGACACAAACGTGAAAAGGAATATGTACTTATCACCTGAGTCTGTGTGCTTGTCTGGTCAGAGAACCCCTGAGAATGTTGTTTTTGACAACGGTCATAGAGCACTAGACTGATGGAGAAAGAGCCTAAGCTTCCCTGGAGAATGAAATTGGCTAGCCCAGTAGGAAACACTGTACTACACTGTTTTTTTGCCTAAAACAGTCATGCATCCATTCACCAAACCTTTTCCAAACACCTTTCATGAGCTATGCACCCTTCTAGGTGCTGGGGTGTAGTGGTGAACAAGAAGGAGAAGGCCACACTCCAGCGTGAATCTAACTGGGAAGAGACGCAATAAACAAGAAAACAAATAAGGAAGGATAATTTCAGATAATAGTAAGTGCTACTAGGGAAATAAGGAGAAACCTCGAATGGGGCAGAAGGAGAGGACCTACTTTAGACTGGGTGATTAGGAAGGCCTACCTAGAGGAGGACGCTTGAGCTGCGCCCTGCCTGATAAGAGGGAGTCAGAGAGGAGGTCTCCAGCAGCAGTGTCTGCAGAAGAGACAAAGATCCTAATGCTGGAACCAGCGTGGCACCCTCCAGAAATTGGAAAAGGTCAGGGTGGCAAGAGCAGGTTGACCCATGGGAGAAAATTTCAAAATAAAACTGTAGACGTAAGCAGGGGCCAAATTGTATAGCTTTGTAAGCTTGAAATGTAGTTTGGATTTTATTCTAAATGTAATAGGAAAGTACTGGGTAGTTTTAGCAAAGGAAGTGACATGCTCTGCTTTGCATCTGTAAAAGCTGAATTTGGCTCGTAGGTGGAGAGTGAACTAAAGAGGGACGAGAAAGCAAGAAGAGAGCTAGGCAGCAATCTGGGCAAGATCTGATGACGGCTTGGACTGGGGAGGTGGCAGTGGAGAAGGAGAGCTGGATGTGGATAAAAGTTATGTTTTTAATGTAAAACCAACAGGCAATGCTTTGAACAGGAAGATGGTGAGAGTGAGGAAAGGAAGGAGTTTTTGGTTTAAGGAACTGAGTGGTGGCTTTTACTGACATCTCATTAACCCCAAACACTCCAAAACGGATGAGAGAATTGAGGCTCAAAAAGGATATGTGACTTGTCTAAGGTCACACACTGCTAAGTGACCAAGATGTGTTGGTCACGTCTCCAGTGTTATCTGTCCCCAAAGCCCAAGCTCTGTGATAGTACATCACACTCAGAGGTGTGTTTCAGAGGCATGAGTTAAAGCAGTGTCTGTTGCTGGGGAGAGAGAGATTTGACACAGTCAATGGACCAGTTGTTCAAATGTAGCCATTTAACAATTGATCACAAGCTCTGCATTTACCTAAAATCAGACTATAATCAATTCAATTTGTTAGAATAGGAACTTTTTTAAAACTTCGGTTTTCAAACTTGGCAACAAAAGGATGAATTCTGGAGAACATAACCTGGTGGACATTGCATAATTACAAATCAGATGTCCATGTGCTCTTAATAAAAAGATTAATTGATTAAATCCATCTACAACCTAGCTCTCAAAGTAAGAAATAAAGCATTTATTTATTATTCAGAATCCAAGAAAACGGATACTCCACTGTTGATGTAATTACTCTCAGGTAAAATATGCTTCCTACAGAATATCAGTACCTTTGGTATTTAACATATGAGGCATGACAGAGGAACAACTAGGCAAAGATTCATGTGAGAGAGACTGGGGGGCAGACACGGAGTGACTCAACCTTAGCAAGAAACTAGCATGCTGCCCTCTTTTCCTTCCCTGATTTAGCAAATCAGCAGGTACAAGTCAAAGAAAGGTAGTCTCCCTCAGTTCTTCAAAGCTAGAGGCTACCTTCCTGGGTTCCAGCTCTGACACTTCTTTTTGAAAGTGATGAAATATCAAGTCAGAGCCGCGGGGTAGGGGAGGGGCCGTTCTGCATTTCAAGAACAGGCAGCCTCCTTCTTCCTTCTTCATCGGGAACCACCCATCACAACAGGGCCCCTGTGTGTCAAGCAGGGGCCGGCCATGTACATTGCAGCCACACAGCTCAGATGGCCAGAGGGGGCGCTGCAGGTCTTCCACTCCGCGGCTGCCTCAGACCTCTCTTACAGTGAGTCAATTGCACTTCTGTAATAATTGATCCTCACTGCTCCCTGGGAGGCATGGAGGGACGTATACAACCCCTTTACAAATGGAGAGATCAAGACTAACTTGGATAAGAAAAAAGATGCCTCCAAGTTTTTACAAATAATGATTTTATTATTTTTGGTTCTGACAGCAAAAATGAACATTTTTTTTACAACATGAATAAACAAAAAGAAATTTATATCAGCCTATCTTGAAATAAAATAGAAACTTCTTAACTGACAGCCACCTGACTGACTAACCAGGTTATCCATGATGTTCACCGTTCTCTGGAAGCACGCTGACAGGTGCCCATAGCATGCTGAATCCTGGGGCTAGTTAGCCACTCTGGAATATCTACCTGTGGTTGCCCATGTTAAGTAAGATAGAGCTTACTAAGAATCGGGTCTTTGCTCCCAAACCTTTTCTTCCCAGTTATCCTTGGTTTTGTATTATGTAAATCAACAGAATGATACATAAACTGATGAAATATGTGTTAAAAGAAAGAGTTGTTTCTAAAAAAAACTATGCTTAATGAGTTGAAAGCCTAGATGTAGGCCAATAGCAAAAAAAATTGTCAACTTAGATGTGAGCAACTATAAAAGACTGGAAGAAAGTTGTAAAACTCTAGAGAATTATCCAATCAAGCTTCTTTACAAATATCTTAGGTCTTTAGGTTCTAGCAGTGTTGTTTTAAAAAAATTATAAATCTTATATGCCATATTACAGATATGATTTTTGTAAAAACAAGCAAAAACCCTCCAAATTCCAATCAGAAGATCCATACCCAAAACAAAGATCACAGCCCTACATCAAAATTGATAAATAAATGAACATACATCTTAAGTTAAAATAACATGTCTTACATATGTATGTGTCATTTTTACGCCTAAAACGACTTTTTCAATTTAACCCATGAGTTCCAGTTCTGATCGTGTTTGACATGAGGGCCTTGGTTGTATCTGAAGGGCTGCCTTACAGAACAGAGGTGAGGCTTCTTTTGTAAACCTTATATAGGATTTGGAGTAATAGGTCAAATTTCTAACCTGGTGTTTCTCAAAGTATAATCCATGGACCACCAATATCCAAACCATCTTGGGTATTTGCTCTAAGTACAGATTCTAATCACACCCTATACTTCCTAACTTATTTTCTCTGAGAAGGATCTGCAGTTTAACATGCCCCTGAGGAGATTCTGATGCATACTATGGTGGAGAACAGTGGTCTAATATAAAGGAACAGTTGGGTTTAATATAAAGGAACAGTTGCTCATAACAATGCCCCAGGTGGGAATATTATGGAAATGTTCAAGCAGAGGCTGAATGATAGTTGGCCAGAATTGCTACAGACGAGTCCAGAATTTGGCGGGAGGTTGAATTTTGTGTGATTCATGCTTGAGTTGGAGACTTTTTTCCTCTTTTTTTTTTCCATTGGAATCACTAATTTTTAGTTGAGAATCAAACTTTTTAAACTAGTTGTTTTCTTAGCTTTCTTAGATTCTTTACAAAGTTCCCCCAAAATTACTTAAGAGGATTACTTAGCAAGTAATTAAGTTTACACACAAGTTACAACAAATGGTAATCTAAAAGATAATTTGAGTCTTTTCATGCCTTCTCTTCTCACAGTTGCTGAACCAGGCAGCAGAGTGGAAACTTCAGGCCAAAGTGCTGAAGGAACAAGAGACAGTCCTGCAGGCTCAGGTGAAGTGGGGGGACAACAATGCATGGGTGTGCCCTCCTTGCTGTGAACCAAAGGTAGTCTGCAAGAGGCCTTCCATGTGGGAGGGGAAGTAGGGACAGGAGTTGGAAATGAAGAATAACTTCATATTTATTATTTTTAAGTAAAAATAAAAGTACAATGTTATATCTAAGAAAAAGAAATGCTCTGCACCAACAACTTCTAGTCAAAAGGTCTGCTGACATATCAGTACAAATGAGGGTCAACCAGAATAAGCTGGTGGCCAGGTCCTCGCCTACCTGTTCATATGTCCTCTCTCTCCTCCCCCATTAACCTGTCAAGGTAAGGGTAAGATGTAAACTGTCCAGATGCACCATCTATAATTGTCAATACTGAAAATTTCCTTACTTGTTTGACATTATTTATAATAAAAGGAAATTAGAAAAATAGAGTCAGCACCCACGTTTTTGTGCTATCAGAGGTTGGCCTTGTCAGTGCCACATGATTAGAGATGGCAGACGTCAGAAACCATTTTGATTTGGCTTCGTGATGTTATGTGTATGTTTTGATTAGACTATGGGAATTCGTTATTTCAGGCTCAAAAATGAAGCCTCATGCAACAGCTGGCTCTGGAGGAAAGCCAGACCTATCCATCTTTCTGGTGCCCTTGGGGCTCTGCCCCTGCTGGCAAACGTTCCCTGTTAGGTTACAGGAGAGCCATCCTGCCACAGGCCAGGCCACAGAGGGGCTCTAGCTCCCCTGCTGGGAGAAATGCCCAAGTGCTAAAGGGACTGTAAAATCTCACAGAGCAAATTCACAGAAAGCAAGAAAATGAGAAGCCTTCCAAACTGGGCAGCATTAATTTAAGATGTGAATAATTCACTTGTAAATGTTTATGTGCTGACTGCTGAATATTTGTTCATTGTGAAAAAAAATTCTTCACTGTATGAATGAACAAGTTCATTGAATACGTGTTCATTTTTTAAAAAGGAAAGTAGGAAAAACAAGAAACTTAAAATCACAAATTATACCACTACACAGACAAAAACATAAATAACATTTTGATATCTAACCTTCCTAAAGCACACCTTTCCAATGTGTGTACAAAATGCCATGATGAATTGTTTCTCCCACTAATATATCAAAATAGTTTTAAAATATTAATTACATAGAAATATGAACCGTAATTTTTTTTCACTATTAATAGAATTGAAGGACAAAACTCTAAAGTTACAAACTCACGGTCATCCTTTTAGGCAGTCACAGAACACATCATATGATCGTGTGGGGTGGGTGGCAGGCAGTGGCAGTTTTCTAACCAGAGACAGGCAGGGGGGAAAGGAGGTGTGACCTCACTGTCCAATGGTGGGAGGCTGCTGGGGGGAGAGTCCAGAGAAGCAAGTCAGGGCTTCTGGCTCTATCTCTGTCCCATTCACAGCACAGAGCCTTGAGGGGTACAACAGGCAGTACTTGAAGCTATTCATTGTTCCATCTGTTATAAGCAATCTCTACTCCTCTATGCTAAATGAAGAATAGATTAATACCATTAGACTCTGGGCTAGAGAGTGACTCATTTGGCTGGTATCAGAATCTAGGTCTTTAATGACCTGTGAAATAACATAAAGGTGTGATCCAATTTCCCACCTATACCCACTCAAGTTTGAAAAAATATGACCCAGGGTTCTAGACTTGCCAGTGTTCCTCGTTCATCCCTCAATACTGGGTCGAACCCAGGGACCAGGGTCAGAGTCCTGGCTCTTCTACTGTGAAGCTGTCTAATTCTGTGCAGCTCACCTAAAGCTCCCTGGACCTAAATTTCCTGGTCTGTAAAATAAGGATGTTGTAATGGATCAATGATACCAAGCTGGAGTCCTCTGACCTCTGGGAGGCCCACTACTTTTCAGTATTTCCAAAACCTAACAGCATAAGGCAGCAGCTACTATCTAAAATGTAGTTGTTTCTGACATTATATCAGCTTTTGCTTAGCAGCACGGATGGCAGTTATTCATATGTTTGATTAAGTTTATAGAAGGAAAATGAGTTAATGAACATGTAGTATATGCAGTTTGTTTTCAAGTTATGCACTCAAAACACTTAGCTCAGGGCTTCCCTGGTGGCACAGTGGTTAAGAATCTGCCTGCCAATGCAGGGGAAAACGGGTTCGAGCCCTGGTCTGGGAAGATCCCACATGCCACGGAGCAACTAAGCCCGTGCACCACAACTACTGAGCCTGCATTCTAGAGCGCGCAAGCCACAACTACTGAGCCCGTGTGCTGTAACTACTGAAGCCTGCGCCTAGAGCCCGTGCTCTGCAACAAGAGAAGCCACTGCAATGTGAAGCCCGTGCATCACAACAAAGAGTATCCCCCACTTGCCACAACTAGAGAAAGCCTGTGCATAGCAACAAAGACCCAACACTGCCAAAAATAAAAATAACTTAATTAACTAATTAAAAAACAAAAGAGTAGACACATTCAACAATTCAAAAAAAAAACACTTAGCTCAGTGCCTGCCCCCATAGTAAGCATAATTAATTCAACTAATATTTATTGAGCATCTAAGTGCTAGGCATGGTTCTAGATGTTAGAAATATAGTACTTAATAAGAGAATCAAAAATCCCTGCCTAATTAAACTCACAATCTAGTGATAAATATTAATTAAAATGCTAACAACTGATTAGTGTATGAGCTAATATTAGTATTATTTCATAGGTAAGGATCCACATAGTGATATATGAGACAAAAGAAGTCTTTATTTGAAAAAAAGTTTAAGAATCACTGGAAAAGATGATCTCAAAACCATGTTCAGCTCTAGTTTATGAATGTAGAGAATATCCAGAGCTGAAGAACTCAGCTAAACTAGATAACCCTGCCTCCTCCATCACCTTGCTTTCCATGGCACGTGGCTCTCTCTGTAAGGACCCTCCCTTGTCTATCTCTTTTGTCTTCAAGGCATTTTCATAACTGCAATAATTACTTAATCATCACGAAGGATACAGAGGCCCCAAATCCCTATGTGTAATAATGTTTAAATGAGCTCCTCTTGAAAAATATCAGCATTATATTTTTTAAATGTTTAAACCTTGAAAAACAAAGTCTATCACAGATGATCTTGCAAAGCACTCAAACACTTCCTTTGGTTTGACAATTAAAGGAGTCAGATGGTAGGAAGGAGAGGCCTTAGTCTCCATTTCTATGGTCTTAGCAAAGGAAATACCAAGGAAAGATTGTATTTTCCTAGCGGAAGTCACTTTTCAGTCATAAGACAACAGCTTGCCAATCTGGGTCATGATTCTCACTTAGGGAAGAGATGTCTAGCTTTCAATTATACAAACCAAGGCAAGAGAGTAAATGTCAGAGATGATCGATGGGATACAATTGTGGCTACAAAGAGCGTTCACTGGATCAATAAGGATGAAGATGGTAGCAGATGTGGGAAGTCAGCAATACCAACACAACGCAGCAGCACAGACACAAAATACTACCCCAGGGGAAAGATCAGTGAGTCAACTGTTAAAGATAGGTATTCATAGTCTTTAATCTCAGAAGGCCTCACCTTATCTATATAAGATGAAAGGAGATTCCTCTGCAATTACTATTATAATTGGACTAGTTCCCAAACCAAATCTCCCAAGTTGGCTAAGACAATTCCTGGACACATTTCTGTTTCATATATGCTATGAATGTTTGTAATTAAAATTTGTGCTCAGGTAAAAGAATGTGTGTGCCACTCCGCCCATTTAAAAGTGAAATGTCAGGGCAACTGTTGTTGTTACTAACCCTAGAATAGTTTGTTTCTATTTCTGCCTCTGGTAAAAATACTGAGGAAGACCTCTGCATGTTCCTTCCACGCTTCCCTGAAATACCAAAGTGAAAGAGGGAATATGACACATCAAACATGCATCATGGGCTTCCCTGGTGGCGCAGTGGTTGACAGTCCGCCTGCCGATGCAGGGCACACGGGTTCGTGCCCCGGTCCGGGAAGATCCCACATGCTGCGGAGCGGCTGGGCCCGTGAGCAATGGCCGCTGAGCCTGCGCATCTGGAGCCTGTGCTCTGCAACGGGAGAGGCCACAACAGAGAGAGGCCCGCGTACCACAAAACAAAACAAAACAAACAAACAAAAAAAAACATTCATCATGTCGGCGTAATAGTGAGAGGGAAAATATGACCAAACACATATCCATAAAGTAAACAGGAAGTGTGCATTTTAGTTCATATCAATAAAGAGTGTCAGAGTTGGTTTTGAGAAAAGTATAGTCTACACAGGTTTTGCCACCTATGACAGAGGTCAAATAGGAAGAACAGCAGACTATTAAAAACAGTCACTAAAAGGAAGAAATGGAGAGCTATTGTTTAACAGGTGTAGAGTTTCAGTTTTGCATGATGAAAAGTTCTGGAAATTGGGGTACACAACAATGTGAATATACTTAACAATATTGAACTATATACTTAAAATGGTTAAGATGGCAAATCTTACGTTATGTGTATTTTACCCAATTTAAAAGATGAAAAGAGAGAAAAAGTTGATGGTCACTAGAAAAAAGCCAGAAGTGGTAATGAAGTGAGACACTACTCCTTGGAACTCTGGTATATCTGTCTTCACCATGCCACAAGAAAACGTGGGGAAGGGAAATAAAATCTGCCCAATTTATACACCAAAAGAACATTTTGCCCAAGGAATGAGGAGAGAGCTGGCTGGGGTGCGTGTGGTTGCCCCTGTTGAGTCTGTCAAGGTTGTGCAGGTGAAATGGACCCCACACGTGCCCACTCCTTCCCTTCCTATCTGCAGCCTACAACTAGAGGGCTGCAGGAGAGGGTCTGGGAGGACCAACTCAGGAGACCATCTGCAAACCCCCTGTACTTCTACTAGAATTACTGAAAAGCTGGAAAAAGAAAGAGGAGAAAGTAAGGAAAAGAAGTTAACAGGAGGCTTGGCCAAAAATACAAATGAATGGATTTTGTGATACGTGAAGAGGATCAGCTGGGGGTAACTGTCCCCACCCTACACCACTAGACCATGGGCAGTACAGGCAGCCAGTCCCACAGGAGCTTACCCTCAAATTGAGGGACTTGACCTATTCATGCACCCTGAAATCAATTCAGTGGATCTCAGCCAGTACTTTGGGAAAAAATGAAAAAGTTACATAGACTATGTCAAGAGTGCATTGCACATAATGATCAAGTACAGTTGACACTTGAACAACATGAGTTTGAACTGTGCTGATCTAATTACACATCGATTTTTTTCAATAGTAAACATTATAGTACTGCAGTATCCAAGGTTGGTTGAATCTGCAGATGGGGAACCGCAGATATGAGCACCTGGGAGTACAGAGGGCCGACTATAAATTATACACAGATTTTGCACTTCATGGATGATCAGTGTCCCTAACCCCCTGAGTTGTTCAAGGGTCAGCTGTACTGTCTTATGCACTATGTGTGTAAAACCCTAGGGTACCTTCCTGGCCATGAATTCCCTTCTGCCACTTTACCCAGTCTTTTTAAATCTGTATGCCAAAGAATCATGAGAAAAATTTTAGGCCACTAGAGTTACCTCAAGTTTTATCACATATCCGCAGAGTTAATGATTGATTCCAAAATGATGGTCAGCTGTTGTCTGACTTGGGAAAATCTGTGTCCTATGAAAAGTTTTACGTTATTTTGTTGTTCTTGTGTACTGCAGTAAAACCTCTGCTATTCTGAATCATGTGAGAATGAGCCATTCTAGATAAGCAAATTTTCTTGGTTCTAGGGGTTGTTTGATTCCCACACCCTCCCTCTAACTCCCATCCCCAAGACTGGGAACTCTCCAACCTACTGGCTTTCGATCAGTCACTCTTCTCTGCTTTTGAAAGGACAGTCTCACAAGTACCACCAGCCAGCTGGTGCCCAACTGAGGACTTGAGGCTGTTCCAGACAGTCAAGAGTACCAAAGTCTCATTTGAAAATGGAAACTTTCCATGTTAGTAAACAAGAATCATCCATATTAAATCTCCACTCACTCAAAACGTGCTATCCTAAAATTATTTTCAAAAGCAAGATTTTATTATTGTATCACTTCAGTAACAATCAAGTATTTATACACTCTCCTTCCCTATCCTGCCCTATTCCTACCCCAAATACAAGCCTCGGAATTAAGGATGTGGAGGTACAAAGGCTCTTCTCCATACTCCCAAGCTAACCCATATGATGTTTTATTGGTGCAAATTAGAAAAGGCATTTATTTCTTCCTCAAGGCTCATTATTTCCATCTATAAAAAAATTGGTATAATAAACTGATTTTGTTGAAAAGGGACAACTAACTGCTGTTGGCTAGAACACTGTATTCATAAACACACAAAACCACAATGTCAAAAAGGGAAATGACAATTGCTTATAATAGCACAACCTGAATAATGGCAGCAACCCTAGTCCATGTCTGGCCCATACTTGTCTTCATTCTTGCTTCCTTCAAGACCAAGTTCAAGGCTCACCTTCTCCACAAAAATGTGGCTCAAATGATCACCTGCCACACTCACCTTCTCTGATCAGTACTTAACTGACTTGGTACTTTGTATTCACTGTCCTATAATCAAGTTGTCTTTGGGATTATCTTCCTGTCAGGAATGCAGGTCCCTCAAAAACAGGAACTACGGGTTAAATGCTTTTGTACACAGAGTCAGTGCTTATGTTCAGTACTCAAAAAATGTTTGTTGGTAAACGTTATAATGAAATGGTGATGACATATTTTATTATTTCATTTTTCCTTAAAGAAATACTTCAATCATACTCACTGACCTAGGATGATCTCGTAGTAAAAAGAATTGAACATATCACTAACATTGTATTAAAAATTACCTTAAATCATTTTTCTTCTCAAATAATAAACAATGACATGTTGTTTTGGTCTGGAAGCATTCTGAAAGCAGTCCTAAAACAGATCTTCTCTTTCCCCTGTTTACAGCTTACTGTCTACTCTGGAAGGTTTGAAGAGTTTCAGAGCACACTGACAAAAAGCAATGAGGTGTTTGCCACCTTCAAACAGGAAATGGAGAAAGTGAGTATTGCTTATCCCCCACGAAATACTGACATTTTCTAGTTCGACATGCAACACTCCTTTGGGTTCATTTTTCTCTTGCTAAGATATTTCAGTGCATTTCATGAAGTAATGAAACATTTATACATGCAAATGAGATTTGGACTGTATTTTCTTTATCGGTAAGTATCTGGTGAATTAGTCTTAGGAAGAGTCTGAAAACACTAGGATATATTTTCACTCTGAGGAAGAATATTTTCTTTTCCTAGGCCATGGAGAGGTGTAAAAAGAAAAGAAATTTAATATTACGTTGTTTATACTGAAATTAAAAACTAATCTTTTAAAGATTAAAAAAAATAATTTTCATACAAATATGCAAAAGCAGAATGTTAGAGCAGAAAACACCATTTCACAGGATCCTTCTCAGAAGAGAATATATGTAATAAGATATAACAGACAGGGCCTTGAATGAGGAGATGAAGTCTGGGTGTGTTTTTACTCATCAAGTAGCAGTGAACAATTCACTTAACTTCCCCCTTATGTATAAATTAAGAAACGATTTCCCTTGCCTACTTCACAAGATTGTGAAGTTCAAATAAGTTAATGTATTTTTAAGGGTCTTAAACTTTTTAAAAGTCTTCTACAAATATGAGGTGCTAATATTATTGTTGGACATAATTTTGTTTAATTCAGTGTCTTCCCAAAATAAAATCAGCATCAGAATTGTGTTTCTGAACAGGCACTGGCATTCACCCTTTTTAAGTGTAGAAAGCATTCTTTGAAAAAATTTTCATAAACTAATATGATAAATTTCACAATTCATGAGCAAACTTAATGGGCCAACATTTGTTAAAAGTTACAGCTTTCTCACTCCACGAAGGATCCATCCATTTAAAAAAATTTTTAATTATAGAGTTTTAATTTGGAATAAATATTAGAGTAGGAAAACTGCTGTTATTTATTGCAAAATTACATAGTTTTAAGATTGGAATAAATATTAAAGGAGTTTTCTATCTGGAGTTCACTTATAGACTCTTAGCAGAATTAGCAAAAAAAATTGATATGCATATTGCATTTCTTTAGGTGTGGTCCCATGGATTTCATCAAATTCCTAAAAGGGCTGATGACTTTTAAAAGTTTAACTCAGTTAAGAAATGATCAAAATAAAAAAGCACTCAAGGCTCACTAGCTTCTCTATAGGGCCCAGGGGCCAACTGCCTGGGCCCAGCCTCTAGCCTCCAAGCAGACCCGCCTCAGGCAGGTTAGCATGAAGCAGCCAGTGCCCAGGTGTGGTTCATCCAGGGTAACTGCACCTGAACACACGCCTTGTCCTTCACTTCAGGCAAGCAGAGAGGAGATCCTATAACCAGGAACGTGAGCAGTTTCAGGTCTGAAAAAGCCAGGCTTCATTTTATTAACTTCTGGATGCCCTACACCCAGCCCCGGCCTGGCAACTAGCATGCACTCTGCACATGTTGCATTAAATGAAATAACTCCAGCCCTGCTCTTCTGCTAACTCACCTGAATATTACTCCACCTCTCTGAACCTTAGTTTCCCCGTTTATAAAGTGGAGGTGAAAACAGAACCCTCCTTGGGGGACTGTCTCAAGGATGAAAGCAATAACGCATGTAATCACATTCTGTGAATCCTACTGCACTCTACAAATGTGAAGGCTGAGAAAATAGAAAGTTGCCTTTGTGTGGCGACTTCTCAGATGTGCCCAGATATTATCAACATTTTAACATCTGAAAAGCCAGGCCGACTTTCTCACTAATAGTCTTCCATTCAGTACAGTAAATAATCTAAATTTCAAGCTTATTCTTGGAACTCAGTAAGGCTATTTTTATTTTAAACAAAAGAAAAAGCAAGGACAAAACAGAAAGGCCTTAAGTAGTTTTCCTTTCTCCTTAATTGGCTCTGGTGCAAGTAAGTTTGTTCACCACTGACCTAGATGATTCAAAAATAAATCATGACTCTCTCCACTCAGTCATCATTTCTTGACATCGAATTTTTGCTTACTTCAGCAGCTGGTAATGAAAGGACTTTTCTTGAAGTCACATACGGAACTGATAGTTTCCTTGATATATTAACTCTTCAGAATTAACATTAAAACACTCATTTTTGTAGACCACTAAGAAAATGAAGAAGCTGGAAAAGGACACAGCCACGTGGAAAGCTCGGTTTGAGAACTGTAACAAAGCTCTGTTGGACATGATTGAAGAGGTGAGGAAGTTTTCCCCCTTGTTCATCTTCCCTTGTCTAGTCAATATATTTATACTCAGAAAATAATTATGGTCTAATACCACAAAATAATTATTTTTGAAAAAGCGCTGAATTTTTCTGGGATGTGGTATATGATATTGTAATAAAAATAATTAGAGCAAACGTCAATTTAGTAATTTAGTCTCAGGTCCAAACTCATAAAGAGTGTTGTGACCCTAAGTCACACGCCTAATTGTTGATTCCAAAGCTGTCCCCAAAGCAGCACCACACCTGCTAGGCTGTGAATTCCTTAAAGGCAGGATGAGTGTTTTACCTGTCCTTGAATTTCCCTGGTGCCTGACACATTACAGGCGCAGAATAAATTAATTAGTTGATTTGAACATAACTGAGAGAAGACACTAGCCCAAGCACCCAGGGTATGTGCTATTTTATAGACAGATACGGAGATATATTGTTTAATTCCTCCAACAGGCATTTAAATACTGATATTACATCAGGCTCTGGAGATTCTGAGACCACAAAGGCAAAGATACATGGTCCTTAACCTGAGAGGCAGGGCTTTCAGGTGAAGGCCTCTCCACGTAAAGAAATGGAAAAAAGAAGTCTTAAAAGGTACAGAGTAGCACAAAGGTGGGGCTGAAGGAGTAAGATGATTTCATGCACAAACACACCAACATTTCTAGAGAAAAGGAGAATTGAACAGCTCAAGCAGCATCATGAATGAGTGTGTGGTGAGTTTCTCTGAATATAATTACTGTTCTAACAATTCATCCCAAATTGCAACCAATTCCAAAGAGATGTGCTTATTATTCATAAACATAAATCAAACAGTTGCTGGATTAGCATATAGCAGTTTATCTACAGAACAGATAAGGCACTGCTGATGGCCAAGGCCCAGTCCATCTCAATCATTTTGTCATAAACTTCTACTTATGCCTTCTAAGTCTTAGAAGCAGAAAATTCATTATAAGATTTTAAAAACCCTAGACTGAAGCAGAGAGAAGCTTTGCTATCTTTCTTTTCTAAAGAAAGGAATACGTGCCTTAAAATTCTACCAGAGTCTCCAACACAGTACAAAACTAGAAGTGATGTCCCTGACCAAGTATCTGTCCAGCCACCACCCTGTGGTCAGAGCCTAACAGACAAATTCCTGGACAAATGGTTTTCCTTCTCTCCATAGAGCATCCTGGCAATTTTGCTTTTCATGTCGTTTTATGAGTGTGTGTGTCTGTTTAAATCACAGAAAGCATTGAGGGCTAAAGAATATGAGTGCTTCGTGATGAAAATTGGAAGGCTAGAGAACCTCTGTCGAGCTTTACAAGAGGAGAGAAACGAACTCTATAAAAAAATTAGAGAAACAAAAATGCCTGAAAAGGATGACCAAGGTCAGCTCACCTCTGAAGACGACGAGCCAGAGTCAAATACCTCCGTGGGTGAAGAGGCAGATGCGGAGGAAGCCAACAGTGTTCACAATGCTATGCAAAATCTGGCCGCGGCCTTCATGGTCATTCATCGTCCAGAGTCAACCCTCGATGCGTCCAAAGAAATCCAAACAGAAGTCAGCAGTCCTCAAGGGGTCGGCGGCACGGCCCTCAAGGGGCTGGAACAATCCCCTCTGAGCTCAGCATGCCATTCAGGGAGTCCCCTGCAACCCCCAAGTCCTCAGGCTGAGGCAGAGGGAGGCAACGAGGCAGAACCTCCCCTCAGATCAGGGTCAGGAGAACAGGCCCAAGGCAATGGCCCCCCTGCTGCACCACAGGCTGAACCACAGCCCCGGAAGCCAGAGGCAGCATTTTCCAGCCAGGCGCCGGAGCCTCCGGCAGAAGCGTTTCTACGGGAGATGGAGGCCAACGGGCAGCCCCGGAAGCCAGAGGCAGCAGCTTCCGGCCAGGCCCCAGAGCCTCGGGTAGGAGCGTTTCTACGGGAGATAGATCCCAACGGGCAGCCCCGGAAGCCAGAGGCAGCAGCTTCCGGCCAGGCGCCGGAGCCTCCAACAGAGGTCTTTCTATGGGTGATGGAGGCCGACAGTCATGCCCCGCCGCCCGCAGCGGGAGAGCACGTGCCAGCTGGGGAGTCTAGATGTGAACCCAGGAGGCAGTCCCCAGCAGCAGCAGCAGCAGAGGGGCTGCCAGGAGGGGCCTCAGCTGGGCCCCCGCTGCCCGAAGTGGCCGGCACCAATCTGGAAGGAGCCGACTAAGCCTCCTCTGCCTTCTGAGGCTGTTCTTCCCGACTTTCCATCGTCCTAACAGATTGTCTCCTGAAAGAGGCATTAAGGGCTGGGGACGTCTAATGGAGAGACTTAGAGACTTAACTTAGTATCAAGACATTTTAATATGTTATGCGGAGTACCTTCAGCCTTTGCTATTTGTTCTCAACTTATAACTGATTTGGAGCTTTTCTATTTAACACTGATAGGTTAATTTTCTCAAATGGCAACAAAACATACGAGTAGCAAATTTATATTAATTTGCCATTAAGATGGTACTTAATTCAATTTCTTAATCAACAGTAAGATTTGGTGTTTAAAGACTCCCATCACAATATATAAATACTGAAAATGTGATGCTTTATTTATTTCCATAGAGTTTAATAAGTGCCATAGTAAGTAATGGATGACCAGGTTCCATTTAAACATTATATACATAGTGTGTGTGTATATGTATGAATATATACATATATGTGCTTATGCACTTATATACACGTGTATATTTTATACACATGTATGCAAATATATATTACACATACATTTATATCATCTCTTTTTGGCTTTCTCTCGTGCAGAATATTTAGATGCTTATCAAAAAAATTATCTCTTACTTGCACCTGGGACTACAGTAGACTAATGCTCTGTGAATTAGAAATAGGTTCAGAACACAAATATTAGGCTACATAATGTTGGGTAAAAATAAGTAATCCAATGGTAGGTCAATAAATTCAACCAATGGATTAAATGACAGAACAGCATTGGGTTAGATTGCAAGGCTATACAGAGCACATAGACACAAAGGTGGCCAAAAGAGGCCCTAAAAAATGGGGGAACAATCACAGCAGTAGACTGCTCACCTCTTGCAGCTGCTGCTCCTACACAACTCGGCCCCTTGCCTTGCAACACCCTCATGTGAAGCAGCCCACTCACACCTTCCTGCAACGAAAGGGTTGGAAGTGGGAAAGGGAGGTGGGGATAGAGGGATTGACGGCCCTCAGGCTGAGAGTCTGTGCTCTGGTACCCTGGCTTTTGAGCTAGAGGTCTGGAGAGAGCATATTCACCCGTCCCTGCCAACTCTTCAGTTGCCTCCCTGTTGTCTACCACTCTCTCCAGAGGGTTTCCCCACCACCTCCTGCTGTCACTGCCCTAATCTATATTCTCAAAGCTTCTGCTCCTTCTTTCCAGCCCTCTCCTTGGCAGCAGGAAATTACATTCAGCCCTCATCTCAATTATGGCTTAGTAAAAGCTATTATTTTTCCAAAACAAATCCACACACGGTTTAAATATGAGTGATGAGGCTTGCAAACCAACACACTTTCTGCTTTGATGAGTTCTGTACAGCCAGAAGTTCAAAGCAAAGGACAAGTGGGTCCCTACTCAAAATGACTTGAAAAATAGGTGAGGATTTAGGAGATGCAAAAGCTAGAAACACCTGGGGTTGTCTACATGAGTATTACATTATTACTGCGTGACAAGAACCTCTAATAATACTGACAGCATGAATTACTCTATCTAGAGTAAAGAGAGACTGCAACAAAGAAATAGCAGGGAAGAGAGGGAGGGAGGGAAAAAACAGATCTAACCCAACCCTACCTTAAAAGTTGAACTCAAGTAGAAAAATGGTTAAAGGCAAGATTCTCTACTACTCATCCAAGAAATCATTTTTCAGTGTTGCATGTGGCTGTCTGCTAAAGCACACAAAGTGCTTGTAGGCAGCAACCATATGCTATAAGAATTGTAAACTACATAATATTTGTTTGAAGCAGACAGTGAGGGTAGTAACAAAATGCTAGTCAGGAAAAAAAAATCAGGAAGAAAGCATATGCTATTTGAGAACCCATGTATTTTTAAAGGCTTAAAATTTTCTAACCACAGGGTATCCAGCCAAATTCAACATTAACTGAAAATCTTAGCTATTTAAACATTCATTTAATTCAGAGCCAGATATGTACTACAGCAGTCCAGGAGGGTCTCCTTTCCCATTATTTACAGAGGCTGAACTTCCAAGAATGGGGTAAGATTAAATAATCATAGTAAAGTCTCACTCTGAATGTTTAGCAAGAGAAACAGGCAGGAGAGGAGCTGAAATCCAGTAAATCAAATATTCTAATAAATATTCTAAAAAGTTCATTTTTTTTTAATCCAAAAGCTTTCACAGCAACACGTTACTCACTAGGGTGTATATCTTGGGCAGATTTTCAGATACAATAACTTGCCTGAAATTTGCAAGGCTTAATATAGGCTTTGGAAGAATTATTTTAATATTCAAAGAATGTTTTATTATAGTCCTTTGGCCTTACTAATTATAACAATAACTCATAAGGCCCAAAAGAGTAAGGAATTTCTGTTCTTTATCAAGGTCATATAACTATTTCTAGAGATGCCAGAAACACTGAAGTTATTGGTGTTTTCTAAATTAAATAACTATAATTTATGTATTTACTAAAAAGGCACTTCTCTTCCCAAATGCTCCAGTAGTGGTTTTATTTTAAAATTTTTCACTTATATTTATTTTTACTTATGTTACGTCTATGTTTCGACAATACCTAACAAAGATTGTGGTTATATTCTCTTGGTTGAATTTTTGGTCTATGAGTGGAATGTACATGGAATGAACACTTTGAAAATCTTGGTGTGTGTGTGTGCGCACACGTGTGCTCAGTGAGAGAAAAGAGGGAAGGAGGAAGGGAGAGAGAGAGAGAATGTGACAGCCCAGGCCTAATGAGCGAGCAGAACCCAGGCTCCTCGGCCTGGCCATCCGCTGCTGCAGACCTATCACACTTCAGTTCCAGTCTCCCGTGAGACCATGTTTCCACAAACTTCTCTGGCATGTGCCCTCTCAGAAATATTCTGAGGAGTAAGGGACGGAGTGTAGAAGGTGTCAGCTCATTTTCTCCTTTCTCTACCTGCTTCAAGACTTTTCTCTAACAAGACCGGAAGAGGCCCACTGTTCTGCCTTTTGCTTATTCCCTCTCCCCAACCTATCTTGATCCGGGAGGGGCTTCTGGAACGCAGCATTTCCTAGCATGCTTGGAGAAGAGGGTTGCTTAGCTAGAATGAAAAAAAGAAGATTAAACCTTTCTTTTTTCATATGGTATAGATACACATTTTTAAAATAGCTCTTTTTTTAAAAAATAATGAAAGCATTATGTGTTTGTTGCAAAACTGAAGCTGCTTTTCAATAAGACTAAGAGATAGCGAGGAGAGATCATTTCAGGAAAATTTCCTTAGCCCCTGCTCTAACCAGTAGTTAAATCCAGTATTTAGAAAAAGTGAAAGTAATTAAAATGTAAAGGATTCACTAAAAGAGGATATGAAATAAAAATGATAACTCTGGTCTCTAAAATTTGTTCCCATCATAAACTGGCAAGTAGGATTTAGGAAGTAAGTAGGCAAGTAGAGTATATAGGTTAAATTTTCACAAGGCTTAACTAATTTCCGTTTCTGAACCTGAAAATTAAAGTTATCATTAGATCAACCATGAGAGCATTCCGTGAGAACAGAAACATTCATAAGTGATAGCAATAAAGGTTTTCCTCAACACTGTTCAGTTGTATCCTCAATACCTGAAGTCGAGTCTCCCCTGATAGAACTGGTATCCCCTGATAGAACTTCCACAAATGCTAGTTACTGATGCATATGTGTGTGAATGTACACACACACATGCACACAACACACGTATAAAATTTGACATAGATTTAATTCTGTTCCTATAGGTGAGTCTTTACACCTGTATTTTCAAAGGATACCTACTATCATTTTTCCTGACAAGGACAAATTATAAAAAGGAATCATTTTCTTCATGAATAAGGATATTTGACAGAAACATTTAACTAGCAAAAGAAACCTACAAATTCATTGATCCATGGCAGAAAAACTATTCACAGAAGCTGTTTCACTCTATCTGGAGATAAGAAACAAGATAAATCACTTCAGCA